ACTACGTTTTCCTGAGGTTTTTTTCATCCAATATTACTTATGTTTTCAAAGATAAGTGTGTACAGCATTTTACGTATTATGACACGTACAGTTTAAGAACTATAGGCAAATTTCCATCTATCCATAATTTTGCTATTATTTTTTAAGATCATAAATCAGTGAAAAAGATCTCCTTTTTCTGTTAATGTTATTGGATGTATTTTATAAGATATGAGAACTATATACTTCTGTTGGATTGTTATGCAGGACTTTTTATCGCTTAACATTAGAAATGCAAAAATGATTTAATGTTTTTGTTAAATACTTAATCTGGGGGTCGATAAGAAGGCAAATATTCTATAAAGTGGTCGACAGGATAAAAAGTTTGGGGACCCCTAATCTAAATCATTATTCAATCATCCGTTGAATAATAATTTAGATTCTCTGTACGAAATATCAATTTATAGAATATATTTAACGAGTTATTTCAGTTATTAATTTTTTAATAGTAAAAATTAAAATGTGTTTTTATCAGAAATGTTGTTATTATATCATAAATGTTTCAATCATGTAGGCAAAGTAGGCCTACTATTGTACGAGATTTACAAAGAAACAAAATTTGTCATAGTTACATATACAGTTATTATGACAATTGCATAAGATGTATTGATGCTTTACATCTTGATGGTTAAAAGTGAAGGGGTGAATAAAAGGGAATGTGTGTCATATCTCCAGTGAGGGCAGACTTATTGACAATTTCGCTCGTTATAGACATATACAATTTTTAAACAAATCACTTTCATTTTAAAAATTAAACCTTTTGCTTTTTTATAGTAATTAATAATCTAAAAGTTATTTTTCAATATTGATATAATTGTGTATTCTGAAATTGTGTCTTCTTTTATCCCTTTTTATTGTCACAACTAGATACATAGACACTGGGCATTTCTACATCATTTTATTCAGAATATCCTATAAGCCGATACGCGTTTCGGGCATAAGTCCCTCATCTGTCGGCATGATTTCCGGGATTTCTTGTAAGTGATGTTGACACGTTTATATTCCTTTTAAAATTACTTATTTACAGTTAAAATTGTTTTACTGTTAAAATACCATTATAGTTTAAAATATATTTAATAGTACTTTTACAGTAATTGTAAATATATTTTAAACTACTGTATAATGGTATTTTAACTGTAAATAAGTAATTTTAAAAGGAATGTATACGTGTCAACACCACCTGTAAGAAATCTCAGAAGTAATGCCGACAGATGTTGGGTTTATGCCCAAAACGCGTATCGGCTTATAGGATATTTCGAACAAAGATGATGTAGAATTGCCCAGTTTCTATCTATGCACCTAGTCAAAACAATAAAAACAAAAAAAAAAACATATTGATATAATCTGATAAAAGATAAAAGTGTACATTAATTTAAAATTACTGTGTTTTTGAAATTGGATGATATTAAATTATATATAAAAATAACAATAACTGCAAGCTAATTGTAAATTTCATGTCTATGAAGACCGGAAGAACACAACATGTTACCTAAAAGCGGCCTCAGTTAGTATAGTGAACGCTTGCGACACTATTTATAAAGATAATCCATTGTACGAGTGCAGATCAGTAGTCCTTACGCAGCAAGCTGATGTTTCCATGATGCCAGTAAGTACAAACTTGTGTAAATTATACACTAAAATCATATAGACAAACTTTAAAACAAGTAATTTTTTTATTTTATTCTAGGGTGATTCTGGTGGTCCCCTTGTATATGAGAAAGATGATGGAAAACAGGTTCAAATTGGAGTATTAAGTACAGGTGAAATGATACCGGATGGGGTTAATGTTTATGTTTCGACAAGTTTTTTTCTTGATTTTATAAAAGAATATTGCGAAGGAGATATTACATTTGTATAATTGTAAATAACTTCATAATTACTTTTGAATTATATTTGAGAACTTCCTAAATCATGTCGTTTGTGTTTTGCAGGAAAAATACTTTTTAATGGTTATGAAACTTAAAAAATTATGATAATAAACGAAAGAATTTAAGAACGTATACTTTCAAACAACCCAAATATATAGCAGTAACAATCATGAGTTGCATCAGTTTTATTTGCATGATTAAACTGAAAGCATAAAGTTTTTTTTTTTTTTTTTTTTTACCGGGGTCAAAAAAAAAACCTTAAAAAATGATGATAATAAACGAAAGAATTGAAGAAGGTGTTCTTTTAAACAACCCAAATATATAGCAGTAACAATCAGGAGTTGCATCAGTTTTATTTGCATGATTAAACTGAAGTCATAAAGTTTTTTTTTAAACGGGGGTCGAAAAAACAACAATAAAATAAAAAGAAAATGTACACTTTGTAATTATAGAATTTTAAACGATATATTGCTGGAATTTCAGGTGAAAATGTCTGTATTTCTTCACATGTTATGAGTTCTGAATATACATGCAGAAGAACCAAAATCTATTTTGTAAATATTTTCTGATGCTACGAAATATAAAAATTTTAGTAAATAAATGAATTGTGAATTGTTCATTCAAGATTCGTAGCTTGTCGTGAAATAATAGCAATTAAAATTTTTATCTGATTTTAAAATACTGTAGGGTAAACGTGCCTAATTCGTACTTCGCTTATATCTCGACTACGGTAATAGCTATTAGTGTCTCTAGTAGCATAAAAAGTAAATAACAATCGGTCATATTACCATCTGACAGACAACATGCTGTTATTCTGCTCTCGACAAGAATATTGAAAAAGAAAGTTCTTTCAACTTTTTCTGTAATATTTTTGCACATTTTGTAAGAAATTTCTTCAAATTGGATCGTGTGTAAGTTTTTTAACTATCTGTGATGTATTAGTGCGTATTTTTGTGATTTCATCTGAAGTGATGAAACATGTGTATCTGTTGTCAAATTTTTTGGCGACTAATGTAAAGTTTGTTCGACTCTTGCGCTTATTTCGTACTCGAGGCATGTTCTTATAACAACCTATCTACACAGCAATTTGGACGAATGCATATATACGAAACAACCGATGGAATTTATCAAAGAAGGAGACGAATCAAAAATATGCAAACTAAATCGCTCTATCTACGGCTTAAAACAGGCTGGAAGAGCATGGTTTAAGACGATTACCGATCACCTGTGTCAAAACGGTTTCGAACAATTAAAAGCACACTCATGCGCATTTAAATATCAACGAGACGAAGACATTCTATATTTAGGATTGCACGTTGACGATATGATAACAATACCTTCGAATGAGCGAATCGAACACGAAGCTATGGCAAAAATCGCGGAATATTTCGACTTAGTTAATCTGGGAGACCCTAAATGCATTTTAGGAATCGAAATAACGAAATTCAAAGATGGGATAAAACTGACGCAACAGAGACAAATAAAAGAGATACTCCAAGAATTTAAAATGGAGTATTGTAAACCAGTAAACATGCCAATGGATCCTGACCAAAAAGTAGACGACAGCGAAGGATCGCCATGCGGAAATAAGAAACTTTTCGAAGAAATTTTGGGAAGTGTGATGTATATCAGTTTAACAACGAGACCCGATTTGTGTCAGCCGATCAGCGAACTGTCACAGTACTCACAAAATCCGAAGGAAATACATATCCAAGCAGCGAAACGACTGATACGATACTTAAAAGGAACCCAAAGTAAGGTTTCAACTCGGACAGAATCTCGTATCATGGAAATGCAAGAAACAGCACCAAACGGCGTTATCGACATGCGAAAGTGAATTGACAGCATTAACCGAGACTACGAAAGAATCGACATGGTTAAAAATGATCCTAAATGAATTAGGAGAGAGAGATTCTAACAAAACAACTATGATTTATAGCGATAATCAAGCTGCAATAAGTCTAATCAACAACGGAAGGCCTAACTACAAAAGGAAACATGTAGTAAGAAAAATATCCTACGTACACGAAAACGTTAAATCAGGTAAGGTTGTTATTAAATACATCTCGACGGAAGAAATTTCGGCAGCAGATTTTTTGACAAAACCATTAAACGCGCTTAAATTAAAAATCTGTTTAGACAGAATCAATGTGAAATGAATATTGTATTAAATGAAATTAAATGTAAACCACGAAACTTGCCCAAAAAGGGAGTGTTGTTTTGTAACAAGTTTCGTGGAACTTGTCCCCCCTGTAATTAATCACCGAAAGGGAGTGTACCCTTGGTCAGGTGTCAGAGGGGTGACATAATTCATGACCTTTGTGTAAACACATGTCCATCTGGTGACCACTTGCTCTGCTGCCTTCGAACGGATCAGATGTGAAAATAAAGCTCTCTTTTTGTTACCGTTAATCTTAGATGTGTAAGTCATTTATAGTCTCCCAACAAAAAAGCCAGGAAACATCTGGCATGTTTCCTGGCTGTTACTACTATTTATCCGAAATTCTTTATCAGGATAAAGATTTCAGGGCCAAAGAATAGTGAAATGCCACACACGGGCAATCTTTTAGGGGTTTACAGATTATTTTTCTGTAGTAAATTAGGCTCTAATTACGTATTGGAAACGTAATGAAATCCAAAGAAACTTCATATTGCCAATCAATTTTGTATGTAATTGCTTAAAATGTGGTTTATAAAACTTTTAACACGCAAAATTAATTATTACATATTTTAAACAGTATTTTTTGTTGTTAAAGTTATACAATTTATTGTATTACTTCTGCACTATTTACAATGTTATTTTTAATTAGAAATGTTGTGTGTTGATTAACAAATGAATAATATTGGTATTTAAATTTAATAAAAATTAATTCAATATAACAGAGTTTTGAAACTATTAAACAACTATTTTTGTTATTGATTTTCCAAGAAAAGGTGAATAGGAGACAAAAGACGTCTCGAAAAATAGGAATTTAATTAACTAGTTACAGAAAGAACTGATTTATAAAATGAATTTTACTACGAATCGATAATATTTAATTCGCTAAATAAAAATTTTTTTTAATTATTTGTGTAAACTGTTGTAATATCAATAATTTTAATTAAATCGCTATTTATTAATATGGTACGTTTTGAGGTACGAATTATTAATTGTTTTGTTACAAAAAATTTCATATAAAAAATCATGACGATTATGTTACGCCACACTTTTACCAGATGACATCATAGAAGTCGACATTTTTGCCCCTAGAACGTTACATTTAAAAATCATAAACCATTAAATATAGTCATATTTAAATACAGTGATATTTAGATTTAACAATGAATGCATTCATTCTTAATCTGATTTTCTTAATTGTAATGTTCCTTCTCTATAACGATGGAAGTGGTAAGTAATTACATTTCAAAAATTTCATTAATCTTCTCTATAAAACCTCTAGTGGCGCATAGTTGATGTGGGTTCACGAGCTTTTTCTTAACTCTTTCTGCCATATGGGCACTAAGTGATCCTCCTTCACCAAGCACATTACGAAATCTCTTACGACAACAATAAAGGCAGGGTGATGGGGACATGGCCCAACATATCTGGACAAACGACCGCCTAAAGACTTTTAGGGTATTTTTTGATCTGTTTGGATTCGAATTCCGTGTCTCCCACATCCGGCCTTTCACAAATAACTGGAAGTGTTTGGAATGGCAGTGATATCACTTTGTACCTTGTTGGACGTTATTGAATTGTTGTCAGTTGAGTAGGGGTTATAGTTTACGCTTCATGGGTCAAGTAACGTATGTCTCTAAATGTGTATTTCATTTAATAAAGATTTCCGTGAAGAACTCTGCTTTAATTGTGCTAATTTAGATTCGTTTGTTCGCGTTTTTCGGGAAATCGAACATTTTTAGACCCATCAAATAATTCTCTAATTTGCATCGAAAGAGTGGGTACGTACAGTATTTCTTGCACCTTGTGAAAACGAGTGAAATCGGCTATGTAAGATAACATTAGTAGTTATATAAACTAAATTGTTCAATATAATACAATAAAGGGTTTAGAATACAAAGTTGGTTAATCTTAACGTTTGTTTTTTTTTTTTTTTTGCTTGGGCAACGGTGGGCTTACCTTCTAGTATGATAATAAGCCTAAACTGTTTAAATGTTGGCAACAGATTGTATAAAATACTTGGAAGATATGTTCTTATAAATGTTGCGTTTATAGAAAAATTATTGGACTGCAATATGAAAAACTTGTAGACCGATTAATTCTGACTGTCGTCCATCTTTGTGTTTGTTTGTCTGTTCTTTTATAATCTTGAGAAAGGGGTAAGATAGATGAGAGTATAGAATGGAAATATAATGCCGAGGGACAGGTGGCCCTGATTAACTATATATTCGAACTTTCGGTTTAGAACGGAAGCAACGTAATGTGATTGAAATCTTTGTCTGAACAGAGTTAGATAGATGATCGACACAACTCTATCACTAAGAGAAAAAGTATTACGTACAAGAGCAAGACTACTATTAAAGGAGTTGAGAATATTGTGACAAAAATTTGCAGCCCAGCATTCCGACGATATCACCGAAAATGATCGCTTGTTAGAATTTGTTCGGTGTATAAATTGGATAGTTATTATAATAAATACAAATTAAAATGTTTTATACAATTTTTTTAGAGTTTTTAATCTTCTCCTCGTCCTCCACGGGAGAAATTTTCAAAAATCTCTTCTTAGTGTGCATTCTCATAACGTACCGTACCCTGTGTACCAAATTTCAACTTTCAAATCCTAACTCTGGAATCTGTGTTTATTGTTTTCGTTGTTATTATCAACCCATCTCTATTACATTATACGATTAGGATCAAATTTATGAGAAAATTCGTTTTCCGTATTGTATTTATCAGGTTTATAACAACGAAAAATGATTAGGACTATTATTGAAATTTAACTGAATAAATGTTTAATATTTAAATAGATTTTTTTATTTAAATAAGAATAAAATGAAAAATACCAAAAAGGTTTTATTATAATGGGGAATTAATTGACTTGGTAATAAACTTACTTGAATAAAATGATTAAAGAACAACGCCTTACTCATAACAATAATGAAATTATATTACTCATAGTCAGAGAATTTATTTATTGTTTTCATAAAGAAAATGTATTTTTAAGATTTCAATTTCAAACTATTTTATTCTAAATTCACATTTTTACTGCAATGAAAAAAGTCGAAT